ATTTTGAGTTCTAACGAATACATCAGTACTTTCATGTTACTGATCCGACTTCAATAATTACGTTTGAATCAGCTTCATTTACTTATAGTTCATCCGATTATATTATCAGAAATATTCTTCCACAAAGATTCTCATTCTCCAATACACTTAATCTAAGAAAACATAAAGTTTGATCACCAACACACTGTCTTCTTCTGAATATCTCTCTCTATTATCATGCCACATTCTACGAAACATCATAAGCACTGCACACAAAAAAGAAAAAAGGAGGATATACAAAGCATTGAGGGCGCATAACGTGATAAAGCACACTCCTCCTACGTCTTCATCCCACTCTATTCACTTCTGGCTACTTTCCTTAGAGCATTCCACTTAAGTTTATTTTGCGATCGCCTTTCTCCAACCATCATGCATTTTTCGACATGAGGGCAAATCCCATCATATTTTATTCTTCCCGAACCTAACACATTCAAGATATCGCCGCTCACCAGCCTTCTTCCGTATGCTACAGTGATACGAAATTCTCTCCTCGTCCCACTCTTCACGGTCTGGGGCTTTCACACAGACACTTACCACACTCAATCTTGGGAATAATGAAATCGGAGACGATGGAGCACAACATCTTGCCAATGCTCTCACCAACAATACAGTAAAACATCATGTGTTACTTATCTGCTTGTTTACAATTTTCACTTTTTACACAGACACTCACCACACTCGACCTTTGGGATAATGGAATCGGAGGTGAAGGGACACAGCATCTCGCCAATGCTCTCACCAACAACACGGTAAAACACCTCTTCCTACTCATGTTCCTCTTTACTATCTCTACTTTTCACATAGACACTCACCACACTCTACCTTGAATGGAATCAAGTAGGAGACGAAGGTACACGACATCTTACCAATGCTCTTACCAAGAACATGGTAACACACTGTTTTCTATTCATCCCGCTCTTTACTATCTCGAATTTTCGCATAGACAATCACCACGCTCAACCTTAGATGTAATCGAATCGGAAACAATGGGGCACATCATCTTGCCAATGTTCTTACCAACAACACAGTAAAACACTATTCTCTACTTATTTTCCTCGTTACTATCTTCACTGTTTACACAGAGACTCACTACACTCAACCTTAGATGTAATGAAATTGGAGCCGACGGTGCACAACATCTTGCCAATGCTCTCACCAGCAATACGGTAAAACATCATCATTCTCTACTTATTTTTCTCTGTACTATCTCTACTTTTCATACAGGCACTTACTACACTCGTCCTCGAGTGGAATCAAATCAGAGACACAGGGGCACAATATCTTGCCAATGCTCTCACCAACAACACTGTAAAACATCATTCTCTATCCATCCAGCTATTCGATATATCGATTTTTTATATAGACACTTACTACACTCGATCTTGGAGATAATGAAATCGGTAGCAAAGGGGCACAAGATCTCGCCAATGCTCTCACTAACAACATAGTAAAACAGCATTTTCTATTTATCTCATTCTTTATTATCTCGATTTTTCACACAGGCACTCACCACTCTCAACCTTAGATGTAATCAAATCGGAGACAATGGAGCACAGCATCTGGCCGATGCTCTCACTAACAACATGGTAAAACATCATTTACTACTAATTTTTCTATTTACTATCTCTAGTTTTTACACAGACACTCACCACTCTTAATCTCGCGGAGAATAAAATCGGAGCCGATGGTGCACAACATCTTTCCAATGCTCTCACCGACAACATAGTAAAACATCATTGTCTACTCATTCAATTCTTTGATATTTTGACTTTTGACACAGATACTTACTACACTCGATCTTGGAGATAATGAAATTGGAGACAAAGGGGCACAAAGTCTCGCCAATGCTCTTATCAACAACAGGGTAAAACAGTATTTTCTACTTATCTCGTTCTTTAATATCTCGATTTTTCACACAGACACTCATCACACTCAACCTTGAACGAAACAAAATCCGAGACGAAGGAACACAACATATTGCCAATGCTCTGACCAAAAATACGGTAAAACATCATTTTCTACTCATTAGGCTCTTCGCCATCTCGACTTTTCACACAGACACTCAGGATACTCAGTCTTAAGTACAACCGAATCGGACAACAAGAAAGAGACGGCACGATGGAATTTCTGAAGAGCAACGACATGCTGAAAGTGTTGTGGTGATAACACGTTATTTCGCTTTCAGAGGATTGTCTGCAGATATTTCTCAGAGTGGTACTTTTTTTATAGAATGCCCTTTTTTGAAGGAAGAATTATAAAGTGAATTTCTAACATGGAACCTTTAGATTGTGTGACTTCAGTTTTTGTCGAAGGAGTAAGTTGAGAACACTCTAGAGAATTTGTGGGAACGAATTTGTTTCTAACTAAGTATTCACATTCGGTTGACGTTACTTTACACATCATCATTTTTGCTACTGAACGATTGTGTCGAAATTGTGAAAATACGAGCGAATGCATTTACTAAAAATTATCAGATGCATGCGTATGGAGTATAGATTTATCTTTTCGATTTCTCAGGAATTCAGCTGTATATGATCAATCGTGTATAGTGGGAACATTCTAGTTTCTTTGAAACATATTTAGTATTCATCAAGTTCCGTTGAAGACTGATCACTTCATTGATAAATCGTTTACAGTTGAGAAAAGTATGGATTCATGTTTTAAACCTCCTCACTTTTATATCAAGAGTTTCATGAACAAAACAAGAAGAGACATTCACTTTGTTGAGAACGTGTTTGCATCCTTGGATGATCTGATTTTCACCATTGTTAAAAAGTATCTCATTAGAGTGTGAAACTAATGAAGAACTCGACAAGTGTGACATATGTAGAGAAATGTGAAGGTTGACTAATCAATCTCATCTATATGGTCACGAATGATTTAACTAAACATTGAAACTCAAAACTCAATAATAACACTTACGCTTGGCGTACACTGAAACACTGAATTCCTTTTTCTCCAGTGCTAATTGTTTCCCATCGTGATTTCTTAAGTCACTACTAAAATTGAAAGTTTCTTCCATTCCATTTCCCTATTAAGGTACGATTCGAAAACAGTTGACATCATGTGGTCAGCCCACGGTGCGCCAGTCATACAGTAATACTATAGAAAATTTAGCTATTGATAATAAAAATATGGAAAGCATAGCATAAATAGAAAAAGAGTCAACTCATGCACTCCGGATCAAACAAAATAGCAATGAACAGGCATCATATTTTCTATTTTTTTTTCTTACTTTGGAAACAAACTCAAAATAACCTGAATGCCTATCTGTTACATCTCACCTAAGAGAACGCTTTCTGATGTTTTCAAGACAAGAATATCGTTACAATTGATACTCCATTAGTATGATGTTTCACTATGTCCTCGAACTCAGTGCTCATGAAATAGCACAAATCGATAATTTCGGAAAACTTAGCTCTACGTAAAAATGACTGTAACTAAAATACGTATCAATTACTTCTGCACACATGCTCAGTGAAGATACTATGTTCTTTTGGTCTTCGGCTTTTTTCCCGTAACGGTTGAGTGTGGTGACAGTCTCTATGGAAAGTGCAGATGGCAGGAGAGAGATGAAAGTCGACAATGATATGTCACTGTGTTGTTTTTGAAGAAAAAAAACAAAAATGGTTAGTTAAGACTGATATATGCATGGTATTGAATCAAGAGCAGAAAAAAAAGAAGACTGATCATTGCAATATTAAACCTTTGGCATTATTCAATATTGATTCAATCATTACGATCATCGTGATACTCAAAACTACAAGTGCCGTGATTATAAGAACTCATAATCGAAATTCGAACATGACGGGGAAGACGATGATGATCAGCATCACGCTTTTCAACTCTCAGGTGCGAAGATCAATCAAATAATATTTCAATTAGGTTTAAATGCAATAAGCAAGGCTCGGATTGCTCAATTAATTATTAACGAACATAAATAAATCAAACAACATCTCTCTGAAACTCTCGCGATTTCATTGTCATCTAAGCAGTAACTTCAGCAAACATCGTCGTCGGTTGGATCACTTTGATGAACAACTTTTTTTCGTACATTTTATAAGTGCACGGATGTGCATTGTTGCATAGATTATCTGTTAACTTTGATATAATACAATCAAAGATATTAACAACTTGAAATACAAATAGTATCAATGTAGATAATTTTCAAAGAAAAAACGTCAATACTCTACGGAATTCGACGCCTGCTGTTACTAGAATATAACAACAATATTGTCTAGTAGTTGAGTAGATATTCACGACATGAACTTGAAGTATAAAGAGTGTCTCAAAGGTCCACCGTAAAAAAAATGAATGTCTTTTAATGAGGCTCAGTAGTTTGTATTATCTTTTCAATATTATGATAGTATATTCCTTAAAATTCTATTCTATATATTTTCTGATAAATTTCTGTGATCACAAACATTAAATACAAATAATTTTATAAATGGCCAAATTCGAGTCATTTATAGTGGTGTCATAAAAAAATGTAAGTCGAACTTGGCATACAAACGCCAGACATTGGCTGTATTAGAAATGCTTGTCAACTCTTTTGTGAAACTAGCATAGTAGCAAATCGACAAAGTTATGAAAGACCTTCAAAAATTACAGATGACAAAACGACATAGTTCTTGATGTCTGTGAAAATCAGGCACTATCAAATGTTTGAGTTGTTACAACGGTCTGTTTTATTCCATGAACAATAGCATACAGAATAACGATAGAATATCTTTCGATTAAGTTCATGCAAGATACAACTTGTTCAATGACTTCACTAAGAATATTTGACATTATCGAACTGAAGTCATCAAATTTTGGTACCACTGTTAGAGAATATTAACAATCAAGAGAATTCATTCTTTTTACATCAGTAAGCCGCGCTTAATTTAAATGATTTATCAATAAATATAAGCGCAAACGAATTTTAGCAAGATACGTATCAAGATCTAATCGAAATCTAAATGAAAATTAATAACGGTAATAAATTAACTCGAAAATAAACTTTCTGTAGTATTTTTTTTTAAATATTTTGAAAATGATGGATCAATATATTTCAGATAATGGGGATCATTTTGAATATTTGTGATGAACCAAATTATATTAAATTAAACTTAACAGAACATACTATAATGTCGAAAAGAAATATGTAACTTGAAGTATTTTACATGTATGTAGGTTATTTTTCACGATGGACTTCTGAGTCACACTATATCTGAGTGACGATTTTTTTGCCGTAAAAGTTGAATGAATAGTTATAATAATTTTGCGCAGAGTAATGAAGTAAGCATTTTGTTTTTCTTAAGGGGGCCCCTCAGAAACGAACTTTGTTATTTTTCAGCTGATTTCAACCAAAATTTCAGGAAATGTTGATCTTGACTAGAATAGCTTATGGTTAAAATATCTCCCCCAAATCGCAAAGAAATGCACAAGTTCTAGTCAATTCATTACCCTTTACGCGGGCAAGAATTTCACAATAAGGATACGAGCAAACAAGCTCGGGTAGTTTTCAAGTTGTAGAGTGTCCTTAAGGCTAGGTCGTAATAGAGCCCGATTTTTGAATTTCCCTTTGTTTGATTTTTAAAAAACCTTTTTCTCAAAATTCAGGAATTCGTGCCCAAAAAAATTGCTAACAAAAATGAAATATCTAAGCTTTTTATTTCAGCGAAAGAGAAATTCAAAAATCGGACTCTATTACGAACTAGTCCTAATTGTCCTCTATTCAACAAAAAAAAAATTATCCCTTATCTGTTGAGTCGTTATTGAAAAATCCTTGCCCGCGTAAACGGTATGCTCGAAAAAACTGATTTTGAGAAAAAGGAAAAATAAGCATTAGAAATCGATTTTTCCAAAAATCACCTGATTTATATATCAATGTTCAAGACAGGCTATAAATTTGTGATTTTAATATTAAGTATTCATAGTCTCTTAGTGATTAGTATAGAAAAAAACTTTACGAAATACTGATGCAAAGAGAAAGCAGTCTAAAAATTCGAAAAAGCTTAAAAAAAACCGTGAAAATTTCTCGTAAAATATGACAGAAGGAGCCAAGTTTTAGGCGATAAGTTCGTCAAAATCAATTCATTTTTTTGATAAACCATAGATATTCTACAAGAGGAGACTTCGGTGCATCTTCTCATGATAAAACTTCAATTTCGACTCGTCTCCGAAAAATTGGATTTTCTGAGAGGGAGGCCTTAAGTGTATGCATTTACCAATACTTCCAGTTCTCATCATCATGACAATGAGACATGATTCATATTGTAGTTGAAAAAAATTTCTGAATAGAGACGAAAGGAACGTAGATTACAAATACTAGAAGCTTGTCTTATCCAATTTTGAAATGACAGAACAAGCACATTTGTTAAAGAAGCAAACACAATAAGGAAACCAGTTTCTTACGACTAATGTTGTTATGTCAAAAAATGCCTATCAATTTTTACAAGGCCAATTGAGTCACTTTTACGATGAGAATTAAGTAGACTGATCGATCGTGAATAAGTACAAAGCAACAAGACATATTAGGAGACATACAGACAAGCGGGGAGACTCAACTTTGCCATCAAAATATTTAAAGAAGATGAACAAGTCAAGCGGCAACCTCTCCACTGAAAATTACTGATTCAACTAACATTGTGTCTTTTGCCGCATAAAGCATATATCTTCCGCGAATATGCCATTGAAATGGTAATTATCCCAGTGGCTTTCAGACTTTCACTTTTCTAACATATTTATTCTAACCAAACAAAGTTTTTCCTTTAATCACGTAGGAGGATGTGCGTGTGGATGTTGATATTCATTTCGTCGACACCCACATCCTTAAAAATAGAAACAACTCGTACACGATAAATCATTTCAACAACATATTGGCGAGTTTGTTTTTATGTACTAGCTATAGCTATTCGTCTTGTTCATCAAAGTAAACTTTTATTCTTTACATTAATATATTAATTATATTTTATTAATTATTTTAGATAGTTCAGAACTTACTGAAAATCTTCCAGCTATACTTAAATTATGTGAATGGATTACATTAAATACAACAAATTTATCACAAGTAGAAAAATCTACTTTGTTTAATTTTTGTCAGATGCCAATTGATCGAATATTAGCACCAAAAATGAAACAAGATTTATTAATCAATATGATGAAATAAAGAAAGAAACAAGACATCAAACTAAAATCTTATTTTTTTTATTTTTTTTAATCTTTAGATTAATGGATAGTAGTTCATCATTATACAATCCACATTGACATTAGCATACTTTTTTTTGTGTAACTAAAAAATAAACTAGGTTCATATTTTTGTTTGTTTGTTTATTATGATAATTAAATCAAGTTTATTCAGAATAAAAAATATAATCTACGATGTTTATTTAGAAAAGAACAAGAAAAACTACAAATAAACATTCTGGTAGAGGGAGAAAAAAAACTAAAAGATGGAGAAATTTAGAAAGAGGACTCAATATTTTGGATAAAGTTTGGGAAAAACAAATTAATCGACGTTATCTTTGTAGAGTAATTTGAGGACTAAAATAAATGAGAAAGAAAAAATAAATAGAAAAACATAATATTTCTAATTACGTTTAAGACGATCTTTAGCTTTCAAGTGATTGTATACAGTTGTAGTTACTTGGTAAAAAACATAGGCGACAATAACACCTTGTGCTGCAAAAAGAAGTTTGTCTCGTGGCATCATTACCCAAGTAGGTATAGTCTTGTTACGCTAAATATAAAAATTCAAATAATTGATTATTGTTATTCAAAGTATTTTAAACGATATGTACTAATGCTAAGAGTTGCAATTGTTGGATACGACGGACACGATCTTCAACATATTTATCAAGTGTTCCTTTGGTACGTTTTACATGTGTAACTGTATCAGTATCACCTTTGAATGGTGTACGCCAAAGATTGACACCTTCCCATGGAGCAGGATGAGAATCATGACCATGACCAGCAACTGCATGACTAGCAGACGTTGTAGCTACTGTATGAGCTTTGGCAGTTGAAGCTGAACTAGTAGTACCGCTCTTATTCTCAAGGAAACCGACGAGTGAACTCTTAGAACTTGTTAAGGTACTTTCTGAATGTGATTTTGATCCACCTGGAAAACGACCTTTCGGTTGTGGGGCAACAAAAAAATTATTTGTTGTTTCTTTAGTGCCAAGACTCTACAGGAGACGAAAAGACAAAACATAATAACTTCTTGTTTTAAATTAATAATTTAGTTTTCTAACTTGTGGTATATAAGCAGAAATTTGATCAGATGGTGAAAGTGTATTCGTAAACGAATTGTATTTGTGAAACATTATGTTTGACGAGAATTTAATCTAAAATGTTCAGCTATTTTTTTTTCTTGTTGTTTTTTAAAAAAGATGACAAAACATATATTATTACTTATATAAACTATCTAGGAAGCTTCAACTATTGTTGTAATAGTTATGCAACCAAACCAATGGCATATAGTCTACGTTATTTTTATATCAAATACAAATTCGACTTAACCAAATGACTCTTATATCTGTTTACGAAAAATAAGATCTACAGATAAGGAAAATTAATTGAAAATGACCTAAAAGTACTGCGATCACATTATGAGGAACAAACTAATTTCGTATACTTTTAATTAGGTTTGAATATTAAAAATTCTCGTTCTACACGTGAAAGAAGTTTCATATTACTATTAGGAGATCGTTTTTTAATCCCTAATAGAGCATGATCTCATTTTTCCAACTTGAAAGTGAATCCATTACCTATAAGAAAGATGCAGCACTCAAAAAAATGAGAGAAAAGACGTATCAAATTCCTAACGACCTAGAGAAATCGATGAAAACTAACCAAGCTGATTAGAAACTAAACATTTTTCAACGAGAAAATCAATCAAACAAAAAATCACAATAATTAACATAGTTTACATTGCAATTATGACTTAGCTAAGTCAAGTTTTTTTTTTCATATCATTCCTTCAAAAGAAACATTGTTATTTTCTATTGCATAGAAAAATGTAATTAAATAATCTTTCAAGGGAAAGAATCAAATTTTAATATTTAAGATGCTAATGAACTCCAATGAATTTCTGATACCATTCGTCGTGGTATTTTTTTTTTTTGTCGAATCTGCATTTTCAATAAAAATCAACTTCTGTAACTTCGAAATTTCTTGTCAAACGAAATGAAAAGAAAAACACAAACAATGCATTTATAGATGATTGTATATTTTCCTCTCTTTTGTAAAATATAAAATAAAACAGATTTATGATTAATACATATCAATAAGAAGAAAAAGAGATGACAACACGTACTAAGAAAAAAATAACAGGAAATAAAAATGCACAATAATAATAATAGTAATACAATGAACAAAGAGAGCAAAAACAAAGTTGTAGTCCAAGGTATACACTAGTGGCGGAGCCAGGATTTTGAGCTGGGAGGGGCTCAACCCCCTCTGAGGGACCTTTGAGCCCCGGTTAGCAAATAAAATACATGGTTTAAAAATTTTCCTGGGAGGGGCTGAGCCCCCCCCCAGCCCCACCCTGGCTCCGCCACTAGTATACACATAAACGTTGATAACTCCTTCTTTTTCTATTATGACAAAAAAGATATTTTTAAATTGCACATTAATAATATGATTTTTTTCTTCCTTTTCCTGCTCACCGGTTGCTCTCAGTATGACAAGCAAAAAAGATGGTGTGATTTTTTTTTATAGAGGAAAAAACATTTCAAAGACAAACAACAACAAAAGAAAAAGAAGAAATATATATATATATATATTTATATTTATAAACAGCATTGCTTATTTATTAATAGATTCCACCAAACATTTCTTGACTCGCATAAGTCATATAAAGAAATCCATCGTCATCCTTGAAAAAACAAAAAAAAATTTTTTTTTTTGTTATTACGAAATGTTTGTAAAATTACTTTATCATCACGATAAATTTCTGCCATGGACGTTGACATTGAAGCAATACTTTTATTATTAACCAATAAATAAAATGCTTGATTCGCGTTTAGTTGCATTCGATTTCTAATTAATTTTTTTGTTTTAGTCTTTTTAAAATTTTTTCTTATTGAAATACTTTTACTTACCGAATTATTGTTACGAATTGAGACATTGTCAATTCTTGTGGCACTAAAAATTTAGTTTTATCTAAAATTAAAAAAAAAAATTAAAAATAATACTACAAAATTGATTTCATTTACCAAGGATAGGTAAATTTTTTTCTTTGTGATATCGTTCAACAATAACTGGAATTTCTAACAGAACAAAAAATGATTTAGCTTTTAATTAACAATATAAAGATAAGAAGCTTACTATTTGGAAATTTGTTTCGAATACCAGCAACTTCTTCTTTGCGTGTTGCTTCGAAGAGAAAAAAAAGATTAAACAATCTTATAAATAAATAAATAATATATTTACCAAAACTTTTGCGTTGTTTGAAAGTACGATTATCTATATTTGATGAGGATGGCATATTGGTTTATTAGTTAAAATAAATTCTTCTTGTTATTATTCTTATTTCAATCTTAAATATCAGCAAAAAGAAAAAGAAAAAAAAAATAGACTGATATACAGGTTAAAGTCAATGTCTATCTTTTCTAGATAATAAAATGACGTTGTGTAAATAAAATTTTAATAGAATATGACATCATAATAGCAGAGAAAAAAAAACCTGTTCGTTCGATTGACATGAAGTCATCTAGTACAAATTAATAATATGTACGTGTATTTCCGAACAAAAAAAAAACTGATAGTGAACTCGATCATGCATTATATTTTATTGTTGCGATCATGAAGAGCTACTGCCGAATTAATAGAAAAGAAACGAGAAAAATGGGAAGAGAAAAAAAAAGGACGAGTCTAAAAGCTAGTCCGTTATTGCTGTAGTACTTGCCAATAGAAAAAAAAAAGAGAGGACAGGTTTTGTTTTTCTTTGTCGTTCGTCGTTCTATCGTTCTTTACTCTATATCAGCATTATTTAACTATTATGGGCAAGTTGCTGCATGTGCCCACACGTCCATACTTCGATGCACATGTCTTTGTTTCTATATATTCTTTTTCCACTTCTCCTTTTCCAATATAAGATACGGTATCTATAATGTTTTTTACTTCTATGATTAATCATTGGCAGTAAAAGTCATATTAATCTATAACTTTTAGTTTCTAACCACTATCTCAAAAGCAAAAAAAAACAAAGTGGAAAATCTTTGTTGTCTTTCATTTCTGTTCAATATATAGAGGGCGTGATTTCATTTAGACTTTGTATGGGAAATAAAAAAAAAAAATAAAAAATAAAATGAATAAACAAATATTTGAATATTATTTTCTTGTTCTAATAAACAAGAATCATTCTATAATAGAACAAATCCTACTGTACATACGTATATGGAAGACAATTTTAGCAAGTTCTTTTTTTCCCACATTTTTTCTCATACATACATAATAAATAGAAGACAATTGTACATATAAAGACGGAAATAAAAATGTTTTTAGTTTACATATTGTTTTTTTATTCTAATCTAATTATCTTTCAAGTATAACCAGTTTCATACGATGAAGTCGGTCGATTATTTCCAGATGATGATGATGATGATTGTCTTATATTATGAGATTGTTGATTGCTATTCGATGAATAACGTGATGATGAGATTATACGAGATTGATTTTGATGATGAGATAATAATGGATATAAACAGTCATCAAGTGTATCGGTTTCACAATAAAGTTTTATAGTACGTAACAAATAATCTGTTTGAACAAGTAAATGATTTGCTGCTATATAAACATCATCACGTTTACTGTCTCGAAAATAAGCTTTTAATGTATTACTAAAATTTTTACTATATTTAATAAATTCTTTTTTTTCATTTTCTAATGCTTGTCGACCATCAGCTGTTTTAAAATATTGATATGTATTTGATACACTATCAAGTGTTTTTTTAATTGCACTTGCAATTTCTTTAATTGTTTCAAGAAATTCACGTTTTTCATTAATATCATCAGGAATACGGCTTAATATACGTTTGAGATTTTTTGAACGAATATTTAATTCATGAAATTCTTGTTCACTACGTGATGATGATATAAAATATGATGATTTATCACAATATTTTTCTAATTTAAGTGTTAATTCATTCATATTTATTGTTGATGATAAAGATGGCATTTCTTTATTTATAAATGTTTGAAGAAAACTACGAGAAAAACCTGGATATAATTCTTCAAGTTTAAAAAATGTTGTACGTAAATCAGTTTGAATATCTTTATATCCAGATTTATCAAGTTGTTCAATTACAGGATAAATAACATCAGGTAAAATAAGTGCATTTGTTGGAGTAGAAGCTGATGTTCCATCATCCATTGACGTCATGATTATTTATCTGAAATAAAGTAAAAAAACAAAAATAATGAAAACAATATATTATATACATTAAACAACTCAATGAGAAATAGCACTTCTTTTTTATATTTGATCATATACATATATATATATATATTTTTTCAGAATACAATTCCTTTTCAAGGAATTCAATTATCCTGAAAGTTCATTTCGTTGATGACAAAAAAAGAGTTTGAACGATATCCAAAAATAGAAAAACATCTATTTATTATTTTTAACGAAGTTGAGTATTGTTCGTTGCTGTTGTTGATGTTGATATTGCATTTGTGCTATTCTGTGGATTTGTAGCATCTGCTTCATTGTTATTATTATTATTTGTTGTTGTTGTTGTTATTCCGGCAGCATTATTTAAAAGTTGATTCTTTCGACGTTGAAGTCGTTGCCATGCAAGTAATTGTTGATCTTCTATTTGTCGGCAATAAGCTGTATTAACAAGTTCTTGTCGAAATTGTTCACGTTGTAATAAATCAAGAAAATAAAGTGCTTGAGGATAATGAATATATTTTATATAATTATCTTCTTTAAAATAAAGTAAATATTTCAAATAATTAATAAATGCTTGATTTTTAAAATAATTTCTTTGAGCCAAAAAATTTAAATATTGAGGATTTGCTAATGTTTGAACAAATTCAAGATCAAGTAAAAAACGTTGACGATCATCATTTATTATTGTTTGAATAAGATCATCATTCATTTTCTTTTTAACTCAATAAGAAAAAATCGTGTACACAATTCGATTTCGTTTGTTTGTATCGGCCATAAACCAATCTTTATAAACATAATAAAAACCTCTTCGTGAAGAACTTTTCATTGGTTAATCATTTGACCAATTAAATAAATGATGCAAAAACGTCGCTTTTATTTTAATTGAGGAGAAACTAATGTTTTATAACATAATGCTAATCATTCTATTTTTGCATGATCTATCAATTATAAACTTCTCTTCAGAATTATGTGATGTTTTATTCTTACGAATAAAAAACTTATCAGCAGACTATTATTCATTTCAAAATAGAAGAGCAGTGGATATTTTTCTAATAACTTGCGGTAGAAAGAAGATACGAACCTGCGGTTTTCACTATTGGAAAGAAGAGATGAAGACGCATCGAATTATATGTTACAAATATTTTCGGCAAGTTTTATTAAATGTTTTTAATTGAGGTTTTGGTAAACCAATGTATCACATTCAGTCACCAAAGAGAATTTTCGATTTTGAGGAGTACATTAGAATCACCAATCGAAGATCTACAAAACTGTGCAACGCTCAGATTTCTAACTTGTAACGTTCAGGACTCAAATGGATTTTTTTATGGCCTTCCACCTAATTTTTCGAGAAAATTAGACGAAAATTCCAGTTTTTTGCTACATTTTCATGAAAAATTGACTATATCAATCGAACCCAAACGTACACATTTTTTTGAAAAAATTCCATAGAAACTCTCAAAACACTTGGTAGTAAAATCTGTAATATATGATTCGATGAGTCTTCATTTCCTCTTTTCAACGATGAAAACTGCAGGTCTCTATCTTATTTCTATCAGAAGTTATTCAAAAAATACCTAGTGCTCTTCTATTTTGAAATGGATAATAATATTTTTTCAAAAAAAAAATTGATAGAAAAGATTTTCAACATGTCTATAATTATGTATCGTTGAAGATAACAAGTAATTTAAGCAGGAATTTCAATAGAAATCTGAAACAAAGTATAAATAAGTACCTCAAAGTATCATAGCAAAGAATGGATCAATAAAAACAAAAACAAACTTATTCCTATTTGCATCTTCTTATGAAACATATATTCCTGCGAAAAAAAAAAACAATATGGAAAAATAACACATCTATGATAACCAAAATGTACACATGTTTGTCTAACTAGGTTTAAGATACATTTTTCGAAATGAATTTATTTACTATCATACGTATGTTAGAAATAAAAAAAAGAATAAAATGAAAGTAATTATTATTGCTCTTGTTCGTGAATGTTAATACATTTGTCGTAAGACCATGAAGTTGATTTCTATTGAAATTCTTAATTTAATGCGCCCAAAACGAACAAATAAAGAAAGTATGTAAGTATACGAAACAATGTTGAAAATCTAAAACAAGGCAAAGAGAAATTTCAAAGATCAATTTGATAAGAATGAATGAGAATAAAATGTATAATTTCATCTGAAATTTGAATATATTAACAAGAGAAAGACGAGTAACTTTTAATGATACTGCAACAAATAAGCAATGTGCTTGTTATACTTTGTAGAATACCATCACAGTATTTTGTTTTCTTTCCGGTAAAGTGCAAAAAAAAAACAGTACTTTTTCAAAATCTTAAGTACCCTGGGTACTTTTCTTTTGCTTGGGATACTTAACACTAGAAAAGTGGAATTTTAGCGATAACAACCCATATCACAGATTTATTTTTACTATCGCTGGTATACCATGATACTTGTAAGAACCGGCAGTATACTGACCATTTACCGGCGGTAGAGTTTACAATTTTCAGTTCCAACTATAAAAAATCGCAGTATCTTCTACTTAAATGCGAATTCATTATTAAGAAGAATTCAACTGTATCAAGAAAAAAATAATTTCAGAATTTATTTTACTTATAAAAATTTTTGCAGTGCTATCTATAATAACACGTTTACCACAGAACTGGGATCGATTTAGGTTCTATAGCTAGTACAGGTGACTGAGACGCATGGACATTATCAAAGTGCATCGAAATCGACTCAATTCTACCAGTTTTAACAGACTTCAAAAATATTTACCCGTTTCAATACAATACACCATGAAACACCACTTTCGAAAAAGACCGCTAGTAGAGTGCACATTATATCGAAATGGTATACCGGCGGTTTTTCTTCGGTTAGAATCTTGGGGGAAAGCTTTGAAGTAAATTCTTTAGTTCAAGTCGATCATTTTCATTCGAAATGATCGAATCGATTCCGTGACAAAGTTGAAATCAACAGGTTCACGTTGATCTATGAACGAACAAATATCGAATCTTATTTGAAACGATTAGCCATTTTTTTATTGTGAATCGAAAGTTGTCTAGTATGCAATTTTCTCTAATCTACAATAGAAAATGAAACTAAAATCACATCGAATTATTTACACAGAGGAAAGATGGGCGTGATCCATTTACATGAGTTTCAAGAGAGATGCATCTTATTTTTGAAGAATATTGACCTAGCACCCGTGTTAACAGATAACATTATTTTATTTTTGCTGTCAATAATATTCCATAAGCACGGATGACAAATGAACAAAAAGAAATAGTCACGGTGCTGAACTCATTCAACATACGATCTATCAACGTCGACAAACGGAACCAAAATGTCGAATAAAAAGTATTCAATCACTGTATAATTTATTTCTACAACGAAGATACATATCTTTAAGTTAAGCGTTTCATGTTTCCGATTCAAACATCTTTTACAGCACATCAAATCTCGAGCTGACAATGGAAATCTCTTCTTATGTCGAATCCGTTTTCAATCAAAACAATTATTGTATTCATCACGTACCACGATTGAAAGAAACCATCTTAACTTCAACATTGTGCAAAGTCACATAAATACCGCCAAAATACCCCGTATTAAGGGTTCGTCACGAAGAGATTGTTTAGTGTGGATGCGAGGGCGAAAACACGAGCCATACCCATTTCCACACACTTCACATCCTGTTAACATAGTGGATAGTTGATACTCTAAAAACAATGACATTTTAAACTTTATCATACAATTGTGATTCATATCCTGAAAGGTAAGATGTTTTTATATTCCAAAATCTCAAATAATTCATTTTATCATTCACCACCGAATTCTTTAATGCGTTCAGTTATCCGTTTAGCAAATATCCTTAAAACAAAAGAGAGACATTATTCATCGATTGTGATTATTTTTTTAAACTGTATCTTATCTTTTGGATTAGCTAATGTGCAAATGTGCGTCAATTTATGGGCCTTATTTTATGATTCGCTCAGCAATGGTAGTCATTGAACTCAATATGGCTGTGATTTCGTAAGCGATTGAATCTTTATTTCATTGTTGGAATTAAGCTCTTGATCTTTTAACATACTCTTTTGGAGAACGGTTGGTAGATTACCGTCTTCTAAATCATCATTGGGTATTGTTGTTTTATCATTATTCTGAATACGAAAGTGTTGAGTTCTCAACGATCGACAGTCTTTCTTTGGCAAAACAACAACGATAACTTTTCCACAATGGTTGTGCTCGAGTGAAAATTGTCGTTCTTTTTTTGCAATTGGCCCTGGTATCTGAATGAAATTGATACATTCGAATTTTTAAACATTCAGCTCAAATGCTGACTGAGATCTGAGAAAGCGGGTACTTTTTTTAAAATTTCTGTACATTATTTTCGTTCACATTTTGTTTCAATTTCTGATCGACATGTCGAATTGTGAATGAATACATTCAAAACAAGCATAACAAAAGAATTTATATTCAAAATATCGATTTTAATTCTTTTTTCTTGGCCTTTCAACCAGAAGCATTCTTATTTTCATCTTTGTCTCTATCTAGTGCAATATGTTGTAGTCGATGACTTTTTTCATTTGTTTATGTTTCTTTTTGTAAATGTTTGAGTTCGATTATCATCTGTTGATTCTATATGTATGGTAACGTGTACTTTTTTTTTTCGTCAATTTGTCCTAGCTTGATTGTGAATATTTTCATGATATCATTGATGAGTAAATCCAAGAGACTTAACCAGTTTTTCAGAAACATGTAAGGTCTTTTTTATTTTTCCATAAAAACAATGATATTAACTTTTTTGGAGGCGACTAGCTGGGAAGTTCTCGAAAATAAAAATAGTCCAAAGAAATGAGATCTCATGTACTCAAAGCGTTCAGCATCTACGTTATTCTTTTGCAACATCCAAGTCTTATAAATTCTATCTAAATTTTGTATGATGAACTATTGTAAATTCTAATCACGTAGCCGAGTTTT